AGCTGAGAGCCTGCCTCATTTATGTTTGAATCCTCAGTGCTTGGCACAGTGCCTGGAAAGTAACAGACACAAAATATATGTTGATTTTTTTTTTTTTTAAGATTTTATTTATTTAGTTGACAGAGAGAAAAGAGCGCATAAGCAGGGGGAGCGGCAGGCAGAGGGAGAGGGAGAAGCAGTCTCCCCTCTGAGCAGAGAGTCCGACCCCAGGACCCTGGGATCATAGCCTGAGCTGAAGTCAGACACTTAACCAACTGAGCCACCCAGGTACCCCAATATATGATGATTAAATGAGTAGTCTAGGTTATATATCTATCAACCTTTTGTAATCTTACTCAGCTTTTTTTTGTTTCAGAATTTCTCCAAGTTATAAAATAATTCCCAAAATTCTGAATTGCATTAAGCCAACTAGAAAAGGATGAGAAGTAATTTCTTAAGAACTGTTGGTAATTGGGGCGCCTGGGTGGCTCAGTCGTTGAGCGTCTGCCTTCGGCTCAGGTCATGATCCCGGGATCCTGGGATCAAGCCCCACATCGGGCTCCCTGCTCCACAGGAAGCCTGCTTCTCCCTTTCCCACTCCCCCTGCTTGTGTTCCCTCTCTCGCTGTGTCTCTGTCAAATAAATAAATAAAATCTTTAAAAAAAAAAAAAAACTGTTGGTAATTTTATGGTTTGATTCTGAATGTGAATATTATTGTTATGTTATCCAAAGAATTCTCTGGTATGGATGTGTTTTGTATTCAGGTTGCATTTATATTCATAGGAAATTGGTTTTTACTTTGTTTTTAAAGAAAACTGAACTGAAGAAAATGATATTTTCCCCAAGAAGACTACTGGGCCTGAATGACCTCAGAATGAAATGGAATGTGGAACTCACAAGAAATCTTAGTTTGTGATGATTACATTTCTTTTTGTCGTCCAATAGTTTGGTTTGTGTACATATATACATATATATATATTTTGCACTACACAAATGATAACATCTTAAGGACTAATATTGCTGATACTTGAATAATTAATCTCAACTAGGTTATAAGTAGCATACATAGATTTGCCCTACCCTTGAACTTGAAGGACATTAAATTATTAATTATTGTTTGGTAACATGTTTACCTGATTATCTCCCATAGAGAACTATAAGCTGCTTTTCCAAGGTACAGTTGTGATAATGAGATGAGATTTGTAACTGGATATTTTTAATTTTCTAAATTAACTATGGGAAAGAATGCAAACCAGGAGTGAATTTCAAATGAGATTAAATCAACTTTCTGTCTTAGTCACTGAATTGCCATGCCAAGGACTAGAAAACTGCTGGAAGAATCTTCTCCACATCCACTCTGTGGGCTGCCCCTAATCCCTCCTGGGCATTCACAGCGCTGACTTTAGTGTTTAGGCGTCCTTATTACAAAGTAGAGCCCTACGTCCGAGGCTTACTTTTTACAAACGAACACAGACTAGACATAACCTGCTGACAAGAATGATGAAGAATCGGCTTCAAGTAGGTCTGAAAGTATACTCTGAGCCTGTAGATCATTGGTAAGATTTTATTCAATCGTATACATTTATTCCTTTGTAATCGCTTTTCTTTATCTGAGGATATCTTGTTTCTGCTTCATAGGGTGCTTTGAAATGTAAAATGAAAACTTATTTATACTGTTTTTACGAAGGTCAAAAAGGAAACATATGAAAATCATTTTTCTGCAACTGGTAAACTACACAGACTGGACTCTTAACCTCTTAGTGCCTCCGTTTTTCCTTCGGGGTATGATATTTGAGATACACCTATTTCACAGGGGTAATGGAAGGATTTGCAAGCTAGCAGGCCATGTGCTTCCATATGAGTAAGGCACACCCAACTAATGTAAACTTAAATGTCCCCCATTTAGACTAAAAAGAAGACTGTAATTTAGATCCTTGAAGGCTTTGTTTGGAATTATTCTTCCTGTATACCTTCCAAAACTCCACTTATTTAGATGTACCTTGTACTGTAAAGATTTCTCTCATTCAAAGGCATAGTAGCAAATAATTTTTAAGCATTCTTGGTATGTATGATGTTGGGTTAAGCATCATGTGTTCAGAGTGTTTTCAGTAAGAAAGTAATCCATCTCTAGGATAGAGAGTGGTTCTTTGTTTGCTTGAAGAAAAAAGTATAAGAATATAATTTGCTTTCCCCAGACTCTTTTTTCCTTTTTTTTTCATGTAACTTGGTGTTTTTTATTTTTTAATCACATCTTGATTAAAATGTGTCTATCTAAAGGGATTACTAATATTTGCTTTTTAAAAACTGTTCTCTAGTTATTTGGGGGAAAAAATGAAGCAAGTAACTGAATTATATGTAAAAATAAGGTTTAAACCTGTAGATCAGGGATTATTTTCAAAAATTAGATATCAATTTGGTATCAGAAAATGGTGGCTTTTCTCTTTAGTAAATCAATTAACTAAATGCCAATTAAGAATGTAAGCAGTTGTGATTCATTACAGGCACTGGGAGGTGACTGACTCCTAGGGATAACCATTTGTATCCTATTCCAAAGTCCTATTTTATAGTTTGAAAAGCACTTTGCAGACAGTTCTTGTATATACAAGTAAAGATGTAATTATAGGATATAGTGTTACTGCTTTGTTTAACGAGAACCTCATTTAAAATTTTAAATTGACAGCTGGTATTTTTTTAATGATCTACTTCTTTTCTGTTTCTTTATTGTAAAGCTACGTTAAAAATAAAAGGTTAATGAGAAATGCTATGGTTTTTATTACTTGTTACTGGTAGAAGTACATTGATTATAAAGGATTAAATGAGCAGAAATAATGGGAATTCATAGAACGTAATCATGCCTCTTTCGGAGTAAAGCCATACTATTACATACAATTTCATAAAAGTCCCAAAGTGGGATAAAGTAGAGCTCCTTTAGTCATTTGGTTAAGAATGTTATTGATCCAGTCAAAATCTTAGTTTCCATTCTTTCACCAAATAGTTAGCTTCCCCCAGCTACTCAGTGCACCCTTAATCAGCCAAGACATTTTAAATACACACAGTTGGTCTTAGGTGGAACATGGTGAGAGAATTTGTGTGTTTTGTTTTGTTTTTTCCTAAAGATTTTATTTATTCATTTGAGAGAGAAAGAGAGAGCGCACACAAGCGGGGAGTGGAGGGAGAGGGAGAAGCAGGCTCCCAGCTGAGCAGGGAGCCCGATGCAGGACTCGATCCCAGACCCTGGGATCATGACCTGAGCTGAAGGCAGATGCTTGACCGACTGAGCCACCGAGGCCTCCCAGGCTTTGTGTTTTTTGTTTTTTTTTTTTTTAAGATTTTATTTATTTGACAGAGAGAGACACAGCGACTCTGGGATCATGACCTGAGCGGAAGGCAGACGCTTAACGACTGAGCCACCCAGGCGCCCCTGTGTTTTTAATACAAACATATAACTTGTAACTTCTACAGGTGGTGATAAAAAGTGATGTTAGCTATTTGTATCATTTAAGATCCCAGTGTTCTGCTGCATGTCATAAAAACTTAACTGCAGTGACTTGACCAAATAAATTTGGGGTTTTTTTTCTTATATACAGGAAGTACACAGGGACGCCTTCATCAGTCTTACACAATTCACAGCGCTCACCATTCAGTGCCCCCTTCTTTAGGTCTGTTTCTGTACTTGTTTTTCCTTTCTGCTTCTCAATCCTTGTTTGCCCTGATTTTCTCTCCATTAATCCTCTTTTGAAGTGGTACTACATTGTATAAACTGGAAAGTGATAAATGTCCTTTCCTTTTAAAAAACAATTAAATGGAACTTCTAAACACATACATAATACGAGGGGTAGCTAGCCATTGCTCTGTTATTCTGCCTAGCATCCTTTCCTCTTCCTCCTGATAAAAGCACCGCTCCCCTCTCTGTCCCTCCCCGTTTGGAGAGAGCTCTCCCTCCTGCACTCTCATTAGGTGATTTGGGGGAGGCTAAGGAATGGAACACCCAGCCATCCCAGCCCTGCCCCCCGCCCCCAAGCCACAGTGGTGGGCCTGTGACTCAAAACTGGCCAGTGTACATCCTGTTCTGCTGACCACAGCGACAGTCTTAGGGATGGGCATATGACCGTAAGTAGGGCAAGTGGTGTTATTCTCTGGATTTATTTCAGGTAACCAGGAGAGAGCATTTTGCCTTTTCCAGAATGTTAGATAGTTTGAGTCATAGAGTATGAAGCCTTTTTGGATTGGCTTCTTGCACTTAGCAATATGCATTTAAGCTTCCTTCATGTAATTTTGGAGCTTCACACCTAATTTCTTTATATTTTTTTATGACTGTGTTTCCATGGAGTTTTATAAAACAAGCAGGAGCGGGGGCAGATTTGGCCCATGGGCCATAGTTTGCTGACTTCTCATCTAGATAGCTTATTTCTTTTTAGCACTGAATCATATTTGATTGTATGGATGTACCACAGTTTATTTATCCTTCCACCTATTGAAGAACATCTTGGTTGCTTCCAAATTTTAGCAGTTATGAATAAAACTGCTGTAAACAACTGTGTGCTGGTTTTGTGTGGTCATACTCATTTGGGTAAATACCAAGGAGCATGATTGCTGGATCACATGGTAAAGGTATGTTAGGGGTTTTTTTGGGGGGGGAAGTGGAGAGAGAGCATGGGCGGGGTGGGGAGGGGCAGAGAGAGGAGAGAGAGAATCCCAAGCAGGCTCCATGGCCAACACAGTGTCCAATGTGGGGCTTGATCCCACAACCCTGAGACCACGACCTGAGCCAAAATCAAGAGTTAGTAGATGCTCAACCGACTGAGCCACCCAGGTGCCCCAGTATGTTTAGTTTTATAAGAAAGTGCCAAAATGTCTTCCAGAGTGGCTGTACTATTTTGTATTCCCACCAGTGATGAACAAGAGTTCTCGTCTCATGTCTTTGCCAGCATTTGGTGGTGTCAGTGTTTTGGGATTTGAGCTGTTCTGATGGGTGTGCAGTGGCATCTCAAGGTTTCATTCTCTTTCTCTTTGAATTACAGCCTGTAAGGTTGATACTGGGCCATCTATCCTGCAACCTGGAGGAGGCTGAGATCTGGGCCATCTATCCTGCAACTTGGAGGAGGCTGAGATAATAAGGCCAACATCTGGACCTAAGAACTTAGACCCCAGTCAGATACAGTGAATTCAAGTGAACTCTGAAAACACTACCCCTCTCTTTATACAATTTGTTTACATGGATTAATAAATTTCCCTTGTTACTTAAGGTGGTTTCAGTTAGGTTTCTGACACTTGCAGCCCGAGACCTGACTACTATAGACACCTCTTGATTCTCCGAACGGAGGTGGTGTGCAGGCTTTAGAGCTGGACTATCTAGGTTAGGATTGTGTGCAGTTATGGGAAAATCACTTAAAACTTGTGTTTCAGTTTCCTTGTGTATAAAATTTGGATAATAATGTCATAGGGTTAATACATGTAGTATACAGAGAATAGTGCTCAGGATCCAGTAAGTACTTAGTAACTGATAGCTATTGTGATGGCAATATCATTTTGATTATTTCACTATCAGTCCTTTTACAGAAGTAGGACTCGAAGACATAAAATCCAATTCCCTTTCACAGGTTTTGAAAGTGCTATAAAAAAGATAGATACTGGAAATGACAGTGCAAGGGTACAGACTTTTATTTATTTATTATTTTTTAAACAAGAGCCAGTCTCCTCCACTTATCCTCTGGATATTAGCCCTTTCCTCAAGGATTTTTACCATATTTTTCTTCCCTGGAAGCAACTACTTTCATCACTTTTGGTTGATTTCTGGGGGGATACTTACCTCCAAGGTCCTAAATAATATGTTTGAACTGCTATTCTTTGATCCTTGTGTTAGGAATTGTTTACTTCCCACTGCCGCAATTGAAGATCTCATTCTTTTTCCTTCCTTTACATTCATTGCTCACGTGTATCCTTTTCATTTCCCCACCTTTGAAATACTGCTTGTCAAAACTGAAGGGTTGAAGATTTTATGCTACCTGGAAGCTAGCAGGTTTGCCTGGCACAGTTTTATGGATGCTAGTAGAACGAAGGAGGGTTTATTTTTTTTTAAAGATTTTATTTATTTATTAGAGAGAAAGCACAAGAGGGGGGAGTGGGAGAGGGAGAAGCAGACTCCCCGCTGAGCGGGGAGCCGGATGTGGGACTCGATCCCGGGACTCCGGGATCATGACCTGAGCTGAAGGCAGTCACTTAACCAACTGAGCCACCCAGGCGCCCCGAAGGAGGGTTTATTATACATAGCAATATGAGCAGCGAGAATATTGGCATTTTGGTACTGGTGCTCCCAGCCCCAAGCCCCACAGGGTGACACAGGAGGCCATATGGGCACCTGCACATGCAGTGGGGGTGCCTTACAGGAGAGGAGCCCTGACTTTAGGGAAAGCGAATCTTTTATAACGGGTAGTAAGCGGGCCTGAACTTTACTCTGGATGAAGACCTTATCTTTATTATATTAGTAACTCTCCTGCATTTACTGCAAAAGGAGATAACAAATCTCTGTCTTCCAAGGCTGTTCACCATACAAACATCCTTGAAAATACAGTACAGAATAAAGGGCAGTCAGTGCCTTATTCACAGGACATGAGAAATACAAGAGCCACGGAGAATTTTTGTATTCTCACACATTTGTATTACAATACATTTGTATTATAATTATAGTTAGATAGGTATTTAGGGTTCACATTATTAGGACCATGTACACATTATTCACAGGTGAGCAAATTATTAAACTATGATCATTTTCCCTTTCTTGCACAGCTTTTTGTTATTGCTGGAGTTAATAGTCTTATTTTTATTTTAAGTGGGTTCCATGCGCAACGTGGGACTTGAACTCACCACCCTCAGATCAAGAGTCACATACTCTACTGACTGAGCCAGCCAGGCGCCCCAGTAGTCTTAGTGTTTCATTTGTTTAGTTTTCTTTATACTTATCAATAATTCAATCCCCAATTCTTCCCCAGTTGTCTAAATAACCTTCAGGTACTGTACTCTATCAATTTAATGTGTATCCTATCAATTTCGTAGAGCTGAAAGGCTGCGCCCTATGCCCAGCGTACAGCTCTTATCCCGCCTAACACTTGACCATCACCTTTGAGGGGTCATTTTACCTCTCTCCTCTGTTGGATAGTTGGCTTCCCCTCTTCCATGTATTCTCTTGGTTTACCATTCCATTTTGATGGAGGATGATTTCCAGTATCTTCCTGAGAAAAGGTTCACAAGAGGTAAATATTTTGAAACTCTCTATGTGTGAAAATGTCTTTATTCTTCTGTTTCTGAAGTTTGAAGACGTGGCTTGGTTGCCTTTTTTAAAGATTTTATTTATTTGACAGAGAGAGAGCACAAGTAGGCAGAGTAGCAGGCAGAGGGAGGGGGAGAAGCAGGCTCTCCGCCGAGCAGGGAGCCCGATGCGGGGCTCGATCCCAGGACCCTGGGATCATGACCTGAGCCGAAGGCAGACGCTTAACCGACTGAGCCACCCAGGCGCCCCTGCTCGGTTGCCTTTTTGTTTGCAGTTTTAACGGTTAAGAAGCTTGAAGACATGTCAGATGCTTCCTTTTTTCCTCCACTCTCACACCACTACTACGCTCACAACGCTCTGACACGAGCTGGGTGTCCTACAGTTTAACTCAATTCTGACTTGTTCTACCTGGAGGTTGTGTCGGATCCCACAGGGTAAGGACTCAGTCGCACAAGACTGCCCTCCCGCTCCCCCTTCAGATGCCAGTCCCAAGTCCAAGTTGTCACTTGTGCTTCTGAGCACTCGGCCATAAACTGGAGGTTCCTGTAACCACCTCCTCGCGTTTGATTAATTTGCTAGCACAGCGCACAGAACTCAGGAAAACAGTTTACTGCTTACCAGTTTATTATGAAAGGATGTGGTAAATATAGAGATGGAAGAGATGCATAGAGGAAGGAGTGTGGGAAGGAGTACAGACATTCCACGCCCTCTCTAGACACACTGCTCTTCCAGCAACCTCCACATGTTCGATCCAGAAGCCTTCTGAATCCTGTACTTTTGGGATTTTTATGGAGGCCTCACCACATAGCCATGATTGATTATTAACTCCATTTCCGGCCCCTCTTCCCTCTCTGGAGAATGGGGGTGGGGCTAAAAAGTCCAAGCTTCTAGTCATGGCATAGTCTTTCTGGCAACCAGTCCCCATCCAGGAGTCATCAGAACAAAAGACACTCCTGTCACCCAGGAAATTCCAAGGAATTTAGTAGCAAAAACGGGTTAAAGACCAGATACGAGAACAAACTGCTCTTATCACTTAGGAAATTACAAGGATTTTAAGAGCTCTGTGCCAGGAACCAGGGACAGAAGTCAACATATATATTTTCTATTATCTTACACCATCTTATTTCTTCCTCTTTGGATGCTAATAGGGTCTTCTGCCCCAGTGTCTGAAATTTCACTGTTATAAATTAGTATATATAGGAAAGATACTTGCTACAATGATGTTATGTAACCAATGACCTCAAAGCTCAATGGTCTACAAGCCTTTTTCCCTTACTCATGGGTCTCTGTGTAGGCTGTGCCCACTCCGGGGTCGGTTAGGTTTGTCAGAGCGAGGCTTTGGTTTGAGTTCAGTTCTGTTCCATGTGCCTCCTCTTCCTACCTGGACCAGCATGTGTAATGTCTTCTAAGCTTCCATCGACCAAAGCAAGTCATATGGCCATGCCCAATTTGGGAGGAAATTTATTCCAACCGCTCTAGTGAGAACCCTGCACTGTTACATGAGGAAGGGTGTGGAGTGGGTTGGAAACAATAATACAATCTGCCTCAGTACTGTTCTTTCTTCATGCTGGGCGTTTGGCTCTCCCAATCTGCAAATTTATGTCCTTCAGTGCTGAACATGTTCTTGATCGATTTCCTTAATAATTTCTTTTCCATTTCTCTGTTCATTCTGTCTGGAGCTCCTATTATTTGGATATTGAACCACTAAAATAAACAGTACTTGAAATTTATCTTTTCTTTCCTATTCTGTATCTTTGTCTTTTTACTGTTTCTGGAAGATTTCTTCAACTTTGAACTTTTCTATTTAGTTTTTATTTCTACTATCATATTTTTTTAATACTTTAAAATTTTTCAGAGTATTCTTTTTTTTTTTTAAGGATTTTATTTATTTATTTGACAGAGAGAGACAGCTAGAGAGGGAACACAAGCAGGGGGAGTGGGAGAGGGAGAAGCAGGCTTCCCACCGAGCAGGGAGCCCGATGTGGGGCTCGATCCCAGGACCCTGGGATCATGGCCCGAGCCGAAGGCAGACGCTTAACGACTGAGCCACCCAGGCGCCCCAGGAGTATTTTCTTTATACTATACTGTATGCAATATCCTTTAAAATCTCTCTGGGGATACTAATGATAATACTTTTGAAGTTTTCTCTGTGTGTGTAGACTCTGTTGCCCTCATTACTTTTTCTCCAAATTGTTTTGGTCTATATATTTAAAAAGACTTTCCTCAGGTATCCAGTAATCTTGGTTGTTTGCTCATATTTGTGAGTAAGAGACTAAAAAGCTGATTGGAGGCTCTCAGTGGGGCTTAGATACACTAGGCTTCACTGAAGGGCTTTCTGTATAAGCCATTTAAAATTGGGGAACATCCATGTCACATCTTTGGATTTCTTTTTTTTTTTTTTTTTTAAGTAAGCTCTATATCTTAAGTGGGGTTCGAACTCATGACCTGGAAGATCAAGAATCACATGCTCTGCTGACTGAGCCAGCCAGGTGCCCCATCTTTGGATATTTTTAAAGATCTCTTGAGCTGGTTAAATTCCTGAGAACACTCTACTAATCTCTTGCCTAGAGGGTTAGATCCTTTCTATCTACATTCTGGAAGTTGACTGAGGGTTGGGGTTAGAGGGCTGGGGGTCTTTTTTTTTTTTTAAGATTTTATTTATTTATTTGTCAGCGAGAGAGAGAGCACAAGCAGGGGGAGCAGCAGAGGGAGAAGCAGGCTTCCTGTCGACCAGGGAGCCCGATGTGGGGCTTGATCCCAGGACCCTGGGATCATGACCTGAGCTGAAGGCAGACGCTCAATGACTGAGCCATCCAGGCATCCCATGGGCTGGGGCATCTTGGCATTTGGTGTACGTGTTCGTTTAAAGCCCATTTTAGTGCTATTATTGTATTAGACAGAGACCCAACAGAAATGGCAAATTCATTTGGATATGTTGAGGGCAGTATAACAAAGAGCCTATTTATACAGGAATGGGC